ATTGTTTAATTAAAAATTCTCTACATATTAATACATATTGTATATATCATTAAAATAAAATCGCAATTTCACTATTTATTACTTTATTAAAAATAATACAAAATTAATTCACTTCAGAGTTGAATATAATAATTTTACTTTCGGGATTATACAAACTTTCTGGAATAAGAACAATAAATACATGTTATTCAATAATTCTAGGAGAATTGAAATACCTGTACTACGTTTCGGCTTATTCGAAAAATTTTACACACTTGTACTCAATATAGCGAAATTTTAGAATATTCATTGATTTAAAGCTATATAATTCGAATACTCTGATATTTTATATGTCATGCGATTTCTAATGAATTTCATTTTATTTGCAATAAAAACAGATCTTGTAACGCTAAAAATTCTGTGTACAAATGTATAATGTTGGACAGTATGGGAATAAAGGCCTTGTTACTGTCCAAGAGAGGAAAGAGTTAAATAAAAAATAAATTAAATTAAATGTCTAATATAATTTAAACTTTAAGTTTCACGAAAAATTGGAGAAACTATAAGGACAAATTTCAGAGTGGTATTTCAAGAGTATTCTTTTTACAAAATATGAAGTGTGAAAATTGCATTATGAAATTTTTTCACAAATAAGTGAAAAGGAAGCTTTGAAAATTTTCATTGAAATGTCGATGTAAAGTTCATTATTTTTTGAACGAATATGAAATGCTTATAAGTAATTGTTGATTAATTAGTGAAATGTAATCAATCTTATAAGTTGAGATAAATGATGGCTTTCTCGAAAGCACTATGGTATGCATATACTGATAAATTACCAAGATAGGTTAAATTTTCAATACATTCTGTTCAATTAAAGTAAATTTTACATAAAATAACTTAGTCGTCGCCGCTATTGTCATATTACTTAAAATCGGATTCAATTTTGTTCGTTTTTGATAGATTTTACCCATGATAAACTCAGTCAGCATTATTAGGAAATGTGAGTGAAATTTACATTGAAAACTCAAGAGAATATACTTTATTTCGAATCAGATATCGGATTCATAGGATAGGAAAATGTTTCCTTAAATATCGGTCACATTTTGCAAATTTCAGTCACGCAAAACAACTACAATCTCGTCAACTGTTCCTATTAAGCAGCATGCATCGTTTCAAATACTGCATGACTGCAATCGAAAATAAAAACAAAAAGTTTGTTGTTCTCCCGTCGATTGAAAACACAAAGCAAATAAATACCTTCGTGTCTGTGTCATTGTAACTATTCGAAATGGAAGCCAAGAGGAATTTTGTGATGAAATGTATATACAGTATATGTAATATAATTAAAATAAAATTACAGTATTTTTCTGTTTCGTTGGTTCATTCCTTTATCATAGAATTTCGACCATTGTTACACTTCATAAGTCAATTTTTAACGTGTTTCAGCTGTATCTCAGAGATGTGCCACAAATGTTTGCGCACGCTACTTGCAGTCTTGGTAATGGGAATTTTTGAATGGCTGAAAACTTCAAAGTATGGCCGTCCTTTACTGCATATGACTATTCAAAATCTAAAGAAATTATTATGATTTCATTGTGGTTTTTCTACACAATTCAAAATGACTGTATAATGTAACTATTAAGTTTTGTACGAATATCATGTAAATTATATATTCTTTCATAATAAGATTTTTTTATTTTGAATAAGGTGGAGTAAAAAGAACAAGTTGCTCATCTACTATTTTTTCAGTTACCATTACACATCTCTATTTATTGATGAAACATATCAAATAACAGATGTGATGATCTCATATCCGAAAATATAACATTTAGTAAGAACTAATTCTCTCTCTCACCAAAATATCAGTTGTTTTGTGATCTGTTAAGATTTGCAATTTTATCCGATATATTTTTTATCAATATCTGAAAGCAAAGATTTTTATAATAGTAAGATATAAAAACAGTACTGAAGAAAATGATACTGTTCATCCAGGAATGTGATGAACGATAGTACCTTTTTTTTTGTTCTTTTTCAGCCGTTTTGTCGTCATTTTAGTAAAATTATCGCTTCTATTTCATATTTTGAAAATCAAAAAATTTGGCTCTTTAGTTTGTATATTATACACATTAATATATTGTAATCCGAATTCGTGATTTGTTAGAAAATGATTATTCTGTGTCAATAAGGACCTAGAATGGATATTGTCGAGGAAGAAATGGCACAAAATATAGCTAACAGAATAGTTTCGACGAACTTAAGGAATATTACTCGAACGAAAACAAATGAAATTCGACAGTTCGATCAATGGTTGCTAATAAAAACAATAATAATCAAACTTGAAGAAATACAATAAAGAAAAAATTTGATAAAGTTGATAGATGGATCAAAATATTTAATGAAAAGCACGAAAAAATCTTGAATTTTAAGGTTTTAGTAATTTTTTGCACTGGTTCTTTGTTTTCCAAAAACTACACCTTCCGCAGAAAGAATATTTTTGCTCACGATTGACAAGAACTAAAGCAAAATAAGTTTATCTAAAAAATATGCTAGGTTTGGAGAAGCAGAAGAAGACGAAGAAGAAGAAGAAGAAGAAATAATGAAGATTTCCTAGAAAATCTTCTTCATTAACCTATTAAATTTGATATTATACGGTTGAGAATATTACTTTTTCGTTATTAGATTTTAAAAAAATCAAATATTTTAGAGAAATTTCCGTATATTTACGCTATCAAATCAATATCGGTAATAATGTACTAAGAAATTGTTAATAATGTCCATCTATATTTCTTGTCGGAATTTTAATAAGAGATTTTTAATAATATTTATCAGTTGCGGCTACTCCGTCCCGTTTTGGCATTAATAAACTAGTTTATGTTTAACTAACTGAAGAAATCTGTGCCCTTTTCCATTTTGCAATTGATTATTGCGTTATCTACTGTATTTCCCATAATAAAAATGAGAATAAAATAAATTAACATGAAAAATAAGATCTTAAATGTGTATCACTCTTCTGCGGTAACTATTAAAAAAAAAAAAAAAAAAAAAAATTAAATAATTGTGATCGCGTCGACCCAAATAATATAATACTACGTAATGAGAATTGATGATGATATATTTTGTACATGATTGATGATGATTACTTTTTTTTTTTTAAACTAAGGTAATAATTTATTTCGTAAAATATAATCAAATTTTAAGAGATTTTTACGTTTTATTATCGAATTTATTTAATTCTTCTCTCTGTCTGTTTTTGGATTGATTTCTAGGAACTTGTTAGCCTTGAATAAATCCATAAAAGTTTCCTTTAAAATCTTGAAAATAACAATAATATAAAAGAGATAAATAAACATGTTATTCAAAATTATTGTGAAAATATTTAATACATTTAAAAATGATTTTTTTAAATAATTTCTATAAATATCTTTTTATTGTCTGGAAGTCTTCGTGCGTTCTAAGAAAATGTTTTAATGCTCGAAATATGATAAATTGTTTTCTAAACTGTAACCATTAAACTTAATAGCTACAAAACGTCGTGTAATCATATTAAAGTTTTAAACATCATTTTTCATTTTTTTGCTTTTTAAAGAACTTCTAATTAGAAATCGTAATAGGTTGCGAAAGGCGATACGAGATACTTGAAATTGACCTTGAACGGTTTAAGTCTTACAGATTCGCGGATTATCTTCATTCATTTTACTTTTTTAAAGACGTTTTCTACCTTTTTTTTATTATATAATGTTACAAAAGGCATTTAAGTCGTAAGTTCTTTCGTAATTAGTCTACTGTATTAAATATCCAAATTGTAAAAACAAATTTAGTCATTATATGCTGTACTTTAAATACTGTTATTAAACTTAACTGTAAAATTTAAATTTTTGAAGGTCATACTATAAAGATTATTAACTTTAATTTTTCAATATACAACACTTATGCTTGGTTACTAACTGCGACTGATCGTAAATTCTTTTACTTTACTTGTTATAGATAAAAAACAATGCTCGTCTTCTTTCATTTTTTAAGCATTTTCCATTATTTAACAAGTACAATTTATATTTTATCTAATAAAAAATTCTAAATTAGTTTATTTTGTGGAAAGAAATAACTGTAGGCTATTACTTTAAAATACAATCGTTTCGCTGATCACGGTGCACTTTAACCACTATTCCATTCTTGGACCATTTTTATCAATTTAAATTAATGAACCCGTTCAGAAATACGTGTTCATTTAGATACACGTGTAAGCAGTATATGCTAATAACTTTGGTCACTGCGCAACTCGCACATGTTTATTGCTCACAGGCACGTGTGTAGTATCTATCCTTCTAGCATGCTGTTTCATTTACAAACACAAATGTTTTATAGAAAAGGGCATGTCCCAATTGTGTGGTTATCAGCAAGAATTTTGATCTCTAACCTTGACGTTAACTGATCATTGACTGAAATGCATTTACTTTTTTATGTAATTTCGTCATTAATTCGTTTACAGTGAAATGAGCAATAACTACAAAATCGATTTTCTATAGTTTATAAATGAAAAAAAAACTTATTAATTAATTGACAAATTTTTCCGGGAGTTTCCAAATAACGATTAGTTTTTATAGTTATTGAAACATAAAATTAGTATAAATTTAAAACTTAGGAGCTAGAATGTGTCTACATACAGTATTTTTAAATTAAGAAAATGAATTTTCTACGTTTCCATAAATATTTACATTATAATTGCAAGGTTATTCTATCGTTTTAGATAATTTTAGTGTACCAATATCAGTTTGTAAGTTTGTAAATAAGTATATTAACTGGGTAAGCAAAAGAAGAAATATTCATCAAATAAAAAAATAGTTAAAATGAAATTATTTTTTAATTAGCGAATTTAATCACATTTTTTTTTCTTCTCATTGAGAACGTAATTGTAAAGGGGTCACCGGAAATAGATTTGTGCATAAACTCTTTTGTAAGTAGATTACAAAGACTTATACTTTTAGTTAAAGGAAGCTATGCCCTCCGTCTCGCTCCGAAAACGCCTACGATTGAGAAAACACTTTCTTCTATTATTTAAAACTTCCCGAATTCCACTTAATTTTTATACAGAGATTAACAAGAAAATAGGTTGAATTCTTTCTGTAACATATGTCGACTTAAATTTTGGTGCTTATGGATGGTCTAATCCGTAATAGCGTAAGTTGTTATTGATAAAGACGGAGTGCGACATCTCGGCTGACCCGTTTACGAGAAATAACGAGCGTTAAGATTGGACTCGAAGTCGGATTTCTTACAACACAGACCATTGAAATATCTTTATTGTTTAACTATCCGCCCGACCAATTCTTACTGAAAGTTTCATTACATGATCTAATATTTAAAAAACATTGAATAACTTAAATTTACATAACACTAAATTATAATTGTAACTGTTATTCCCATTAAGAGATCTGCAGCGATATTTCTAAATATTTTATTAATTCTACTGCAAAATTTAAAAATACACTTATTAATATCTTCTTGTTAGCATATAGATTCCAATTTCGTAGTTCAAATTGTTTTCTAATCCAAAATGTTATCAACCTTATAGTCGAAACGACTCGAAATAATCATTCTTCTTTTTTATTCTGAAGCCATACATTCTAAGGAAAAAGTCGCTTAATTCTCCGTAATCGATATTCTGCTATTTATTCGGTGATCCGTCTTATCAACTGTTTAGACACCATTAAATACTATAAATATTTTACCATAAATCATATTTAAACAGCTACTAATAAGTTACTCTTATTTTTATTTCAATGACAATTCAGTTCTTGTTTTATCATCATAAGATGGTAGGTGTTGTTTGTTTCTATCTTTTTATATTAATATCGAAGTCCTATATTTACTGCGCTTTTAGGGCATTAAATCTAGCTGCGTGTTTATTAACATTGTCGTTGACACAAATATCGTTAGGAAGTTTTCAACTGTAAGACAAAAAAAAAAGTGGAAAAAATCGTCGTAGGAACAGACATATTCGAGACCACTTAGATGTCGATGGCAGTTGAAAAAGACAAATGAGGAAGACGATGTCACCTACTTGATTGCCAGCAAAAATAAATCATTATGTGATAGTTTTAAAACATGTTCCTAATTGTACTAAAACAGATTCTTTTTATTTGTTTATCTATCTTTTGCTATTGAGAATTATATGAAAGTTTTCANGAAATTAACCTTAGTAAATTTATCTCTTCAAAAGACATCTATTTCGCTAATTTTATTAATTAGGATGTAGTAAATTATGTTTCATTTTGAATATATAATTTTTTTAACTCCTAAGAGTTTGTTTATTAGATCGTATTTTTCGACATTGGCTCTATAAACACAGTTTTATGGCGTCAATGAAATGAATACTGTCTAGCAGAAAGTTTTATGTTTTCTATATAATTTTTGGCATTTTCTTTCACCTTTTTTATTAAACCATGTAAATAGAAAATTTTATGGCATTTGAATAAACAAAGAGTGAGAAACTGTTATTTAATAATAACAATCCATTATAAACGGATAAATAGGACTTTCTAAGAATAAATTATTATTTCGGGGCAATGATGCTAAAGAATGAAAATGTTTACAGTGTTACACCGTTACGTTTACGGCATCGTAACAAAATAAAGAAAATGCAGTCAATTTACATATCAAAGATATAGGCTATAATAGAATGTCTGTTGTATGTTCCCTATACGCTTCTAAACCCTTTTATTTATCTGGAAAATATAGGCTGTTATGAAACCCGGACACCTCCCATTTCATTCCTTTGATACTTTGTGGTAATGTAAATTTAATGCAATATTATATAAGTAAGCATTACGTAATAATTAATGAAGACTCCACGCGGTACATGAATCATACATATTTAAATTAAAATGTTGAATCAACATCAGACTAAAGAAATGTTTGACTGTCTTTGGATTTAGGTGACAATGATAAAAATAAACATAATTATGTATACATATTTGATATTTAAGAAATTAATAAATTATATTTCAAAATAAACAATTTTAATGGTATTTAACAATCGTTTATATATTCATTTCCAATTAGCAATAACCTGAATAAATAAATTGAACAGAACGTTACCTTAAAATTTTATCACAATGTGTCAATATTATCTGTATATAATTAATCGCAGTTTATTTATTTGGTTTAAAATTGTATCCTCGAATTAAAAACAAAGAAAAAAATCGAATATTTCTTTGGATAATTTTTCTTATCTATTTTCCTTGACTGTTTGACCCGGTTTTTGAAAATCGGGAAGTTCAACCTTGTAAAAATTTTGATTTCCGTGAGGATTTTGATTGAAAAATGAGAAATCATATCCCAAATATCGATTTTCTCCACTGCCAATGATTTATCGACGAGAAAATCTGAGAACATTACTAAATATATAGACGTCATCGAGTTTCAAAATGTAAATAAGATACTTGATTTAATTTTCCTTCTTTCAATAGTCTTGTTCTTGCCAATATATTATAAAAAGATAAGATTTGTAATTTTGTGCAAGAACTATTTACAGTAAATTATGGTTTGATTATAATTTAAAGTAATTTTTTAAATCTCAGGATTAAAGAATGGCATTTGTGTAAATGAGAAATA